AAAGGCGAGACATGACCGACACATGAGTCATAGGCTAGACGCGCGCGCTTGCCGCGCCTGTTGCAATCGATTTTTGCGTTGCGGCGCTGCACCGTCAGGAGCAACAAGAAAGAGTACACTCATGCTCACAAACGAGCAGCACACTTTTCTTATCGCCGATTTATGCATGTTGTGTTTTTTTTAGGGGCGTCAAATAAGATGGAATGTCGGATAAGCAAAGGTCGGTTAAATGAGACTCTACTGTAGTTAAAGGTCTGCCTACTTCCACATAAACCTGCCTGCCCAATAACAGGAGCCAAGCAGTTTCTGTCCAAATGTCCACTCCCTTCAAACCTGGCTAATTATTCAACTAAAGTATTCCTATCTAATATTCAATTTCTTACTGCCCAAATTTCATCTGGTTCCAGTGCATATTGCTTTTAAGCATACGGTAAAGATTGGCTTTTTCCAGTGCTTTTGATGATAGGTTTAACTGATTTCTGAAATGTCTTTTTTTTTTTTAAATGTCATTTTGCTAGTCAGTTTGGATGTCTTTGTGACAAAAACATCAGATCAAAATACTTCAGATAAATAACAGAAGACCACATTTAGCGAGATAAAGCAAGCTCAGAGGTAAAATAAGAAAAAAGTTCAAAATATAGTACTCTTAGATGCAGATCTCAAAAGAAAGTAATACATATTTTAAGAATTATTTTATTCAATTAATCTTTAAAATCATAAGATGATGACTTAATGACTTTGAATTTAAAAAGTGGAAAAAAATATTTGTGTGTGTAGCAGCAGGAGCAGCAGCTAGACCATTGCCATTTAGGCCATTCTAACATTCTTATCTTTTGTGGTAAAGGAAAGCAGTTCTGAGGTAGTATGAGAATGAAGCATCCAATCAAACATCATATTCTACGCGGACATAGGCTATTTTTGCACTGGCTTGAATTTTTAATAAGAGAGCCTGAAACACACAGAGACATATATCATTATATCATATATATGCATATGCTCTAATTTATAGTAGAAAGTTATCTAGGCATTGATAATAAACTTAACCTCACCAAAAGATATACGAAAACTAGAAAAAGGAAAAACTGAATGTGTACAAACCAGAAGAGCATGTATGATGACATTTGCCATAGGTATATGCACATGAAGACTCATTAACTTTGACTTTTGAGAAGGATGAGACAACAGGAACAAAGATAGGCAAAAAATGATTAAATAAAAAAAACAGGAAATTATAAAGATATTTTAGTGGTAAGTAAACATGCAGAGTAAGCAAGAAGAATGTATTCATGCAGCACTTTACATATCCACATCTCAGTTAAATGAAGTTGCCTTGATCATATATGCACATAATAGCACGGCTTATGTATGGGGCCCAAGCGAAGTCTTGCCTTATAGAACATTGTCCATTTTTTTACTGTGAGTTAAGTTTAACAAGATAGGATATTCTTCCTAGCTACTTTGTGTCTCCTTTCAGCTCAGTCTAACAATATATATATTATTATGTATAATAATAGTAGAAAATCACAGATTGACAGAACAGGTTCTCACACAAAAAAATGATGAATACTTGATTAAATACTGAGATAAATTATTTGCATTGAAATAAGCTAGGCTTCCATTTGTCTGCAAGACTTATGATTACTTCTAAGCCATGTGTCTAAATAGAATAGTTGTTTGTAAACCAGTGTTTAATAAATTGCATGTTCTTTATATTCTTCAGTGCTGCTCTGGGGAGATAGAAGTCTGAATTGTAAAAATAAGGTATAACAATATCTACTAAACTGAATTTTCAGAAGTGCTTTAATGCTGTACTACAAATCTATTAGATAACTTGATTGTGTAAAGATCCAAATATTAAATTTATTAAAAGGTAATGTTTAATGATGACCTTTCTCCAACTTGATTATAAAACCTAAATCATATGTGTGTGTGTGTGTGTGTGTGTGTATGGCTTTTCTGTGTTTTTGTCGACGTGTGTATTTTAGTCATGCTTAACATTTCAGAAATGTTTAGCCCAGTGATGTCCTCTCTTTAGATTTTGTGGATTTTGGTTTTGCAGATTTTACAGATTAGTAGTCCCTACAAATGGATTTTAGCATGGAATTATTATGTTTCTAGGAAGAATATCAACAACCATGCATGGATCTTATTTTTTTGATCAACAGATACAGGCAGTCCTCGCTTAACAATCACAATTGGGACCATAATTTAGGTCACTAAGTGATGTGGTCGTTAAGCGAATCATCACATGACTGCTTCACTTAGCAACTGCAATCCTGGCACTCCCAGCTGCCATTGTTAAGTGAGAACCACAGATCGTTAGGCAAGTTCCTGCTGGCTTCCCACAGTCAGTGGGGAAGCCGGCAGGAAGTTACAAGCCCCAGGCACTGCGAAGTGGGGGAGGGAGTGAGGGGGTGCGTGGGAGGGTTGCGGAGGATGCACAGGAGTGTGGTGCAGGTCAGGTGCGCAAAGGGATCGTAAACTGCTTGGATTTTCAGCCCCAGAGTCGAGAAGCTTCTGAAACCTCTTCAGTCTGGAGCTGAAAATCTTCCATGGCTGAAAGCCCTGCTTGGATTTCTCTGGGGGCTGGCTGAAAAAGCTCTGTGCTGAAAACCTGCTTGGATTTCGGCATGGAGCTCTTTTAGCCAGCCCCCAGAGACAAGAGGGAGTCCTCTCAGCTGGCAGCAGCAGCTTGTGACCTTCCCTGCTGGCTTCCCGATTGACTTTCTGGGGAAACCAGCAAGGAAGATTGCAGATGATGATCATATGATCACGGGGCGCTTGGCAACCGGTCGTAAGTGCAGTCTGCCAAGGATCCAGATCGTGACCACAGGGGCACTGCAATGGCCATAACTTTGGGCACAGGTCATAAGTCCCTTTGTTCATCACCATCGTAAATTTGAATGGTCACTGAATGAATGGTCATTAAGTGAGGACTACCTGTAAGGCCATGCAGGAAACTGGAACTGACTTGATATTTTTTAGGCTAAAACTACTGTTGTAGTCCCTGCTTCTATCTGGAGCTGAATCCTGAGCTATGTATTTATTTATTTATTTGATTTACATAGCCACCCATCTCGCATGTGGCTGTGCGTGGCTTACAGTAAAATAGATAAAAACAAATAAAATAAAAATATTTGGCAGCTGAGCTTCATAAAATAACCATAAACAAACCAAGAGATGGGCTCTAACAAACTTCCAGGGCCCTAGGCCCCAGGATTGGGGCTATGCTAATCTCAGGTAAAATGATGTTCCACAGGGCGGATGCCCAGCAGAAAAGGCCCTCCTCCTGGGCCCTGCAATCACTCCTTAGCTGACGGCACCCCTAGCATACCCCTGCTGCCCGACCAGGAGGGATGGGTAGAAACAAATGGGAAGAGCCGGTCCCTTAAGTAGCCTGGTCTCAAGCTGTGAAGGGCTTTAAAGGTAACTATCGGCACCTTGAATTGCACCTGGAAGCACACTGGAAGCCAATGCAGCTCACAGAGCAGTGGTGTCACACGCACTGAGAAACTGATGCCATTAACTGCCTGTACCGTCATATTCTGCATCAGCTTGAGGTTTCTGAATGCTGCTCGAGGGCAGCTCCATTTAGAGCACATTGTAGTAGTCCAATGTGGAGGTCATGTGGGTATGAGTGACTGTGAGCAGGCCCCCCTGGTCCAGGAATGGGTGCAACTGATGACAGCCCGAAGCTGTGCAAAGGCCCTCTTAGCCATGGCTGCTACCTGCTCCTCAAACAAGAGCTGTGAGTGCAGGAGGACCCCAGACTGTGCACTGGGTCTGTCTGGGACAGGGCCAGCCCATCGAGAACCAAAGATGGAAGGTACCCAGAAGCAGGAGGTCCAAAAACCCAAAGCCACTTGGTCTTGCTGGGTTGAGTTGAAGCCTGTTGCACCCCATCCAGGCCCCCACAGCCTTCAGGCACTGAGACAGAACCTCCACGGCATCACTCAGGCGGCCTGGGGTAGAGATGTAGAGCTAAGGATCATCAGCATACTGATGATACTTCACCCCAAACCATAGGATGACATTACCCAGCAGCTTCATGTAGATGTATTTTGATTGATATGTGCTAGTCCCTTCATCATTATCTGCATCCTTATCATATTTAATGAAGTACCAGTTTATACAATTTATCTTTTTGATGCTTACATCTCATTTGTAACATTTAAAATATTGATACAAACATTGGGGCAAAATTAACAACTGGATGCTATCTGAATTATAAAGCTGTAACTTTCCTTTTCTATATTTTGCACAGTTCATTATCTAACTAGAAAAGTTGAATATTTGTTTTTATAGTGCACAGAAAATGGAATCAAAGCCATCAAGAATTCCACGGAGGCTATCTGCTCAGCCATCTGGTTCTCGAAGTGCTAGGATAGGAGCTGGAAGTGGTGGAACAAGTTTAACTGATTCATACCATACAAGAGAATCTTCATTAAGACTTGATTCTGGATGCCAGGTAACTTTTATGATGGTCTGTGTTCCATCTGTCTCTAGTTGCTGAGTTCAAATTGTCTGAAGGTTTATTGACAACTTGGTTATATAAAAGATGCTGAATAATTTAGATATTTTGTTTCCTTATTTTCTCTCTGTTAATTTAAAATTGGCATATCATCTGCTGAATATATTCTACCCCATACTAATTGGGCTCATTGACTAATACAGAATTTTCTTGGTTTACACTAATATTCTACCAGCTTTTATAAGAATTTAAATTTTAGCATTTGCTTAACCTTTAGCAGTTTGATATAGAAGGATTGTAGCAACACTTACTTTGGCTGATCTGAAAAAGATAAACAGTGTCTGATCTGGTTAGCATTTGTATTGTAGACCACCAGGAAATCTGAGAAGAAGATAATGGGAAACCACTTCTGTATTTTTTTTTTAAAAGTACATGAATATGTCCATGAGGTTATCAGGCATTGAGCTCAACTTATTGGAGATTTTACAGTATCTTAATAGAGCTAAAGTTCTTAGTTTAGCTTTGCTTAACTTTTTTTTTAAGGGCAGACTTTATGCATGAGGATAAAAAAATCTTTCAAGATGTAATAGTTGAAACTGCTTTATGGTACTTCATTCCTTTTCCCTCTTGACGAACCTACTGCTTTCAGCTTCTTTTTTGTTTTAACATATTACATAGGGGTTTGAAGTTTTAAGAATGCTGAATGAACCCGGCAGACTTATTTACATGAAAAAAGCAGTTTGCTAGAATCAAGAACAAATCTTCCAAACATGTTTAAGGTCTCATGAAAAGGTAGCCAGGGTATACTTTGAACTTTGGAACTACAAGTAGTCCTTGGGTTACAAACACTCATTCAGCGACTGTTCAGAGTTATGACGGCACTGAATGAGGGGGACTTAATGACTGGTCCTCAACGTTGCAGCTGTCATAGTGTCCCTGCAGTCACGTGATCATGATTTGGGTGCTGGCAACCAGCTTGCTATGACAGTTGCAGCGTCCAGCATCCATCGCCATTTGCAACCTTCCCTGCCAGCTTCCCATGAGCAAAGTCAATGGGGGAATCAGCAGGAGGTCACAAGTCGCTCCTGCAAGTCACTCCTGCTTCCACCAATTTTTTACCCATCCACCTGCCCGTGCTCTGTAGCACTTGCCCACGGTGCCTGGCTGCAACACCCACCCACCTGTACTCTGTAGTGCCTGCCTGCAGCTCTTGCCTGCTGACCTGCTTGCCTGGGACTCCTTTCTCTTCCCAAGTTGCAATCGTGTGGTTCTTGCTTAAGGACCCACAGGGTCCTGAGGTTATGATGGCAACCGGGACTGCCAGGATTGCCATCACTAAGCAATGCGGTCACGTGGCTTCGTGCTTTACAACTGCATCGCTTAGCGATGGAAATTCCAGTCCCAATTGCCATTGTAACCTGAGGACTACCTATATTTTCTTAGGATGTACCTTCTGTTTTTTCCAGTGTGTCACTAATTTGGACTTCTTTTTCATGATATTTTTTTAAAAACTGGGAGAATAAAGTCATTAATTGCACCCTTTTTATATGTTAGAACTTTGGTTGTTACATGAGTAGTATAGCTAAAACAGTAGTGAACTAGTGAGTAAAGATTCTGCTAAAAGTACAACTACTTCATAAAATTGCATTTTAAAAAAACTGATCACAAGTATTGGGCAATTGGGATATAGGTGTTGGAAAAGTAGAATTTGTTTTAGTGCGATGTGACAACTTGTTAGCACTGACTGTCTTACCAGAATTCTTGAGGTTTTCCTGGAAGTCTTCTGAAAAGAACAAGCAGAAATATAGATCCATATGTAAGTTATTGAATGTTCCCAGGCAGATTGAAATAGAAAGCAGTATAAAGTCAGTGTGTAAAATCAGTGAACAATAGAATTAAACAACAAATAATAAAACACAATAGCTACAATGCCATAATGGCTTGAAAAAAAATCTAAAGTTATAAAATGTATGGGAAAATAAAAAATAGAGTTGAAATTAATATATCTAATAAGATTATGTATATGAGGAGACCATGTCAAATTCCCATACAATTACAGAACTCCTTAGATGACTTGGGATTGGTCTCTTATCTCAGCCCAACCTACCTCAGAAGATGGCAAGAATAAAAGAAAATAAGACCCTTGTGTTGCCCTGAATGCCTAGAGGAAAGGAGGGATATGTAATATAATAATGCAGATATAAAAAGTAGGTCGTGTTTAGACATGTTCAAAAATGTATATGATGCAACTTAGCTGATTTTAATAACTAATTAAATTAATCTTAAATTGGCCACAAATATCTTAGTCTTCTTGCTCTGGCAGTTCTGCAGTTAGAAATAGCTTCAATTTTCAGTGAACAATGTGAAGTAAGATATACTGAATTTCAATCCAGTCTGCTTTTGGGAAGGGAGCAAAACTTTTTCCCCAGCTCAAAATCTAAGTGAGGCTTGTGCCTTGGAGCAGAGCTACATTAGCCCTCTTCAGAATACTGTCCCTAGATACACTTTTTCTTTTCTTCATTACGAACATGATTACTTATAAATCTGATTTGAAATATTACCTTCTAGAACCGTGGTATTGAATGATTCAGTCTCTACCCAGAAAGGTGTATTGCATCATTTTCAGTTGAGTTCATGGAGGTGCATACCAGCCTTATTTCCTATAATAAAATGAAGATACATTCCCTCACACTTTTTCTCTCTTCTCTTCCTATCTCTGCTCATTGTAATGATAACTCTGTTGCCATTGAAAAAAATTTAATGGGAAAGTACAACTATAGTATCTGTTTGGCATTTAGTTACAGATTTTGTTGCAGATAGTTACTGCTATGTCCTAAGTAAGACCACTTAGACTAGTATTGTTGACACCAACAGTGCTTTTCAGGCAAAATTTTTCTAACATGACTGAAAATGATAGGTGCTGAGCCTGGGAATTCTGCATGTATTCTACTGCTTATCTGTGGCTGTATACACTAACCAGTATACACTAACACTGTATGTTGTTTTATCCCTGGACAAATGATTTGCTGGGACATTACTAATTAATTATAAACTAATAATAAGAAATTGTTTCTGTGTTAGGAATATCTGTACAGTTTGTTTTTTCTTTTCCACTATCTTTCCGTTTAGTTAGTACTTTCTCTTCTCAAAACTAGTTGTGATTTTTGGTGTTAAATGCGCTCTCATAAAAAATAAGTAGGCATGGTTTGGTTCTGGCTAAAAGAAGCATATGAATAATTATTTGTGTGATAAATGTTAACTTGCATTTTTGGAGGTTTAGCAAAATTCAGTGTCTAAAAATAGAAAAACTTCATGTAACTATTTTCAACTTTAGTATTTCTCTGTAAATAACTTTTAAAACAAGGAGTTGGCAAGCACTTACTGCCCTTTTCACCTTTTTTTGGTATAAATAATGGTATAAAATAAAGGTTTGCAGCTATTGTTTTAAAGTTACTTGTGTTGGTTTAAGTGCTGCCAATACAGTGTGAATACTTCCTCAGCAGAATCTCAACATTCCTCTTCAGAGAGAGGAGAATAGTACTGTTTAGATCTGATCCTCCTTAGAAAATAGCTTAATGGAAGCTGAATTTTTAAAAAGTAAAATTTACAGTTACAGCTACATCCACTTAGGATGAGGTAAATGCATTTTAGAAACTGTTGACTCTTCTAGAAACTTTAAATATGATTAATTAAAAGGTGCAGATGTTATAGATTTTGTTTTCTTGCTAGGAATGATGGCCTGAACAGGTGATTAAGTAATAGTAATATTGCTTTGTAGGAATCTAGCAGGTTGCATAGTTCCAATAGAGACTGGGCAATTGAAGAAAGAGAAACATATGAAAATTCATGGAAGCTTCCAGCTTCTTCTCCAACTCATTACTCAGGAACACTTGATTGTCCGTGGTCTGGAAGACTTTTGGGAAGCAGAAACAGATTGGTAAGAGTTGCATAGTTAGTCTGCTGAAGATTCATTTTAAATTAGATATATACATTCTTTTCTGGAGGAAAAACAGAAAATTTTGGAATTTGTTGGAATAGAACATTTTGCATATGTTTCTTTAAAATGTTTTCCAAGTTAAACTTAACTACGAACCTAATTTTCGTAAGTTTCAATTAAATTTGTTGTCTACTTTAATATCAGAAGTTACAGTGAGATTTCAGAAAAAACGCTTAATCCTAAAGAGAGGGAGAAATTGTGTTTGAAAAAAGTAAGCATCTATGAGGATCTATGCTTAGCCTTTGTGAACTTTCCAAAATCTAGTGTCATTAACTTTTCCCCTAAATGTCTGTCCTATTGCTTTTGTCTTGTTTAAAAGCTAAACACTATATCTTTCTGCAAATTGGAATTCATACTTAACTATTTATGTGCAGTTGTTTACAGATTCAAAATAAGAAAACTGTGGATAAGACAGGTGCAGAAGTTTGGACACCCCTTTAGTTAGTACTTTGTAACACCTTATTTGGCAGAAATAAGTTTCCAAATGTTTCATGTAGCCAGCTAAGAGTTTTTTCTTGCTTTTGAAATTTTTCCCCAGTGCACCTTATGGAACTTTTTTAGCTCAGAAATATTCTTCAGTATCTTTGCATTTTTGAGATTTCCCCCACAGATTTTCAATAATACTAACATCTCAGGATTGTGAAGGCCATTCTAAAACTGTTATCTTTCTTTTACATAAGTATTTTATGATTGATTTAGAGGTAAGTCTTGCTGAAATACCCAACATCTTTTCAACATCAGTTTCTCCTTGACTGTGGGAAATTATCTTCTAAGATATGTTGATATTTAGTTGAATCTGTTCCAATATTTGTTGTGCCATTGTTGCACGCACATAAACATGCCACTTGATTGTTGGAATGGTATTCTTTTCTTCAAATGTTTCATACTTTTCCCCCAAACTTATTGTGTGTGGCTGGGGCTGAATACTTCAGTTTTTGTTTCATCAGTCCAAATATTTTGTTTCAAAATGTTCATCAGTTCAAATATTTTGTTTCAAAATAACAAGGCTTATCAAGGTTTTCTTTACAGTGTCAGGCAGTAACTTGTGATGAAGTCAGAGAAAGGGTTTTCTTCTGACAATTGTCCCAGAATCATTAAGTAATGCTGTAGTGCAGACCTGTGGACAATTATTCCACTGTCCGCGAATCTTTTCAGCAGGTCATTTGCAGTGATCTGTGAGTTCTGTTTGGCAGATCTGCCAAGTTTGGGGGCAGTTCTAGCAAATACTTTTCTTGGTCCTCCAGATCTTGCCTTGACTTCCAATAGTTCCATGTAACTTCTATTTCTTATTAGTGTTTATAATAGTTGAATATCTATTCTAATATCTAGTAGCAATTTAGAAGGTTTTTTTATAGCTTTTTGTTGCTGGGAAGAGGGCAGACTCGGTGTGTTTCTGGTCCCTTCAATTGAACAATGCAATCTATCAGGACTTAGGAAGCATGCATTCTCTGTTGTGGTGTCTACTCTCTGGAACACTATCTCCCCAGAGATCTGTGTGGCTCCCACCCTAATGATGTTCTGGAAATCTTTAAAAACCTGACTGTTCTCTCAGGCCTTAATGTGTTTATGGAGCCTTGTTGGTTATATTTTCTGTTGTATTGGTTCCCTCTTACTGTTTCTTATTTTCAGTGTAGGCTACCCAGAATTGCTTTGGAGTCAGGTGGTCTCTGAATTTTGTAAATAAAAAAAAAATGTAAATAATAGCTGCTGATAGGAGCCCATTGTTTTTAAAAGTAGACAGAAGAATAATAATGGTTTGGGAGGTTAGAAGGTTCAAAAGATTTTTTGACCTGAAGAATTTTCTTTACTTGGCTAATAGTGTAATAGACCTAACATTACCTTTTTGGGCCTTATTAATACATTTACTGTACAGTAAAAAAAACAACACTGAATCAACTGGAAGGACACACTTATACAGTATCATATTCATTGTTTTCTTATTTTGAATCCGAATCTGTATTTAACTGCATATAAATAGTAAGTATGGTTGGGAAATACCTAACAACTTTTTCAAAAGAAAGTTTGAAGTTTAAAATAGTATTAATGTTATTTAAGACTTGTATTCCTATTCTGTGGTATAGAATTTATTATGAAAAATAAACAGTGCTAAACTATGTAATTTGCTTTACTACTGCTTATAAAAATAAAAAAATCATAGATGGAAAACATTAATGACAAAATATCTTAAATCAATAATTTTTAAGCCCAGAAAAGTAAATGTACCACTAAAAATCCTCTGCTTTATTGGATTAAATTGCTATCACTAGTATTGGTACCTTGATTTAATCCCATAGATTACTTTAATGTGGGGCAGTATATGGGTAAAGAACTTGGTACAGGCTTATCTAGGCTACATTCTTGTGTTGGAATAAACTTCTTTAAAATAGTGGGAATTATTTCTGAATTGGATGTAGACATGACTAGTATTGCACTGTTAGAATTTTGAAGGTTAAGATAGATTTGGCCTGGAATAAAATTGGCAGCCAGTTCAGATTTTAAAAAACCCAGGTATTAACATGTTTTGTATGCAGTTCCAAGTGAGAAATGTGCTATTCAATCCATCCTAATTGAAGTTTCTCATCTGTTTTCAAGGCTGGCCTAATGTGCAACTCAGTTAAATTGAGAGGCTGCTTGAGTGTGGAAGATAAATACTTGTGTTAACATGAAAATAGTGGAAGATTGCTAATAGCTATAAAGAAAAGTACTTGTTTAAATGGGGTTTGCATTAAAGCTGTTTGACCATCTTTTTGAGTAAAAAAAGAGCTTGTGAATATTCATATGAAGCAGCTTAAATGTTGACTTACATTTCAGATAGGTGTTCTAAATGATAAGAAAATGCCATAGTTGGAGTTCAGCCATTGTGTTAATAATGCTGGATTATGTTGACAGACTAGTCCCAGAAAGAACAAATTTTACCTTGTTTCCAGGGCTAAGATACATTTGTATTTTATCTCCAGTTCTGTAATGCAATTTGTTCTCTTTAAAAGGGAATAATGCTTTATTGTAGTGTCTAGTATCTAAAGATTAGCCTATTCTTTTAAAATTACTCTGGTTTATATACCAGTTCCCTTGTTTGTTTTACTCAGGCTTTTTCAGCATAATATTTTTGATTTAATCTTCTGCTTGTTTACTATTACAGAACAGGCTAATTATCAGAAAATTAATAACCTTCTCAAACCCTGATTTGTAGCTTGCATCATCATCATCACTTCCTGCATCATCTTGGTTTGGTGAATCTGAAAGAACTCAGGGAGCATATTCTTCAAGACTGCATAACCAGCAACAAGATATTGATTCAAAAAGACCTAAACTTTCTTATACATCTACCTCTAGTATGAGAAGTAGTGGTTTAAATACAGTTTCAGGTAAGTTGCATATTAAACAGTATAAAATGTGTATGATCTTACTAAATACCAAAGTCTGCTTCTTGCTGATCAAGAAGTAATGCTATTATTAAAAACAGCAGTAATAGTAGCAGAAAAGAGTCTTGTTACACTTTAAAAATGAAGATTTGTCCTGTGGCAACTGGCTAGTCATGCAAGGCTCTTGGACCCTTCAGAGGCCTGAAACAGGAGATGTAGCAATTTTTGCTGATTTTCCCTCTGCCACTTTCTGTGTATTGCTAAAAGATTTTCTAAGCTTCTGGGCCGACTTGGGAGGAGGAACTGCAGGGAATTAGAAAAATCACTTCCTGCTCTGTTCCACTGATGGGGTTAAAAAAAAAACCTTCCTTCCATGAAGGGCCACCACTGCATATTTATTTATTTACAAGGCTTATTAGCCACTCCAAATAGCCACTCCTTTCCCCCAAAGGGAAAATAAGTAGAAGGTATAAAAAACAAGAATACCACACTCAGTGAGCCAAAAATTAAAACACCATTCCTCACCAGAAGGAGTGATAATGGCATTTTGTTCTCTATGGCCTGATAGAACAGCCATGTTTTAATTGATTTTCTAAAAGCTAAGAGGGAAAAGCCCTTTCTGATGTCTAGGATCAAGCTATTCCGGAGGAGGGGGACAGCAACTGAAAAGGCATCTTTTGAAATTTCTGCAAATGGCAGTCTCTGATAGAAGGGCCCTGAAGTGAGCTTGCCTTACCTGTGAGGCAGTCCCACAGATATCCGGGGCCGAAACAGTGGAGAGTTTTAAAGGTGACAACCAGCACCTTGAATTACACCTGGAAACCAAGTGGGACCCAGGGTCACTTTCAAAGGTGTTTACGAAGGTATACCTATCGCTTCTCTAGCCATCACATTCTGGACCAGCTGTAGCTTTCAAATACTCTTTGAGGACAATCCCATATGGAGTTCGTTGCAGTAATCCAATTAAGAGGTGAGTTAGACATGGGTGACTGTGACTAAATCCTCCTATTCCAGGAGGGTCCTAACTGGTGCACAACGTTGAGATGTGCAGATGCCCTCTTGGCCACAGCTACCCCCTGCTCATTAAGTCCAAGAAGATACCTAAGTTACAAGCCAGTTTTGGTGGGGGGGAAGGAGTGTGACAATCCAGAACTAAATGTGGTATTTCTTCAGAATTTGATGACTTATGAACCAAGAACTACTATATCTTTCTAGGATTAAACTTCAACCTCTTCCTCACAATCCATATGCTAGCAGCCTTAGGAGCCTAGACAGCATTTTAACAGCATCACTTGGATGGCTCAGGATCCAAATGTAAAATTGGGTATCATCAGTATAGTGGTGATACCCAACCCTCTGTTGGTAAATGACCTCCTCATACTACACTTGATTATAATCATAATCAGAAGAGAAACTTGTCCAAATAGGATAGTCAGGTTTCAAGAATATGGTAATAAATGTAGAGTTTCTAAAACAAATAACAAGGAAGCTGGAAGAGATCATGGTTTTCACTTGTCTTTTAGATTCCCCATGGAGGTACAGTGATGTGCCCAGATCTTCATCTATGGTACTTGGATCATTAACAACTGAACTTGTGAGAGAGAGAAGAGAGCTAGAAAGGACAGAGCCATCTGTTAGTTTTGTGGATTATAGTCAAAGGAATGGCGATTTCCCTTCTTCATCATGTATGTATTGGAAAGCTGAGAATGTTCAGTTACATGTTATTCCATAAATTTGTATGGAATGTTTTGGTTTATATTGCTCTAGTTGTAATGTTGTCTGACTGTCGATTAGCTGCTTCATGCATAACAACTAGTTGGTTGATAATGCCATTAACTGTGATGGTTGAGTCCTGCCAGCAAACATGTAGTTACATTTTTTTTTCTTTTTGAAAAAGCTGTAGCTCTGCACTTTGCTTTTTGAATAAAACTTATTTTGAAATGTGATATCACTATTTAAAATACTGAGCCTAGAAGTTTTGGCCTAATTTTTAAATACATAATTAAACCTTAACCACATAAAGTAATATTGATTGGTCTTTCCATTATATCAATAAAGAGTCAGTTCAGAAGCTGATTACGAACGCATTGGCAATTCAAGATTGTAAATCTGGGCTTGCAATATCTTTCCAACACCAAAGAGTAATGTGTTTGCTATTTCCTGTGCTCAATAAATTGACAATTTTTTAGATAGTGAGAAGTTCCAAGTTTTAGTATGTAATTCAGAAGTACATTTATATCCTTATACTGTATATAGACAACGCCGTATCAACTTAGGAATTTTAAACCAAAATGAGACAATAATGGGGCAAGTCCATATCATATGAATAAACCCTCACCCATTTTACATTTCCAGCATAGTGAGGTTGACAACTAAATATTTTAAAACATCTTTCGGAATATCCAATAAATATGAGAAAGAATCTTATATGATTTATATTAAATTGTCTCATGTTAAGATAATAAAAAACATACCTAATATTCTGTAAGATCCTTAGCTATTGGTTTGTTAATTGCAAATAATTAATATCTACCTTAGCAATACTTTTTAATTGTTTATAGAAATACTCTAGATCTAGAACACATTCCAGGATTGATGATAATGTGGGAGTCATACATTCTGTTAATGCATCTGGACCAAATAGTGAAATCAGGATATATTTTAATTGAATATACTGCCATTTTCAAATCTTAGGCATTCTGAAGTCCTCTTGCAGTAACTTAAATGTTTTAAATTGCTTGGCAATAAGTAGATTTAAGGCATTAATGCTCCACTTTCCCATGATTTGTCCCCTTACCCCCACCCCAAGAGATTTACTTGTAATTTACAAACTGGGATTATTCCAAAGTGTAAGTTTGTCATGTGAATAAGAGTAAAAGTTATCCCATCTTAGCTTATTCCAATTGTGCCTTTAATGCAGGACCTATAATAGAGTTTGGCTGAAGATGGAACAATGCTGTTGTCTTGCTGTTATGCCAGAGAGATCACATTCTTTCTAAGTGTGCCAACAGTGTTTTTTGACTATCACTTATCTTCCATAGAGAACCTGAACTCAAAATATGTGCTCAGTGATAAAGCAGAGAGTCAGGGAAGTTAACCCCCCCATTATCATATGATAGCTATAATTTAGATAAAGAAAATCTAACAGTTTAGAAATATTACAATATTTTTATGGGAAAACATTCATTGTATTAGCACAGAAATACCTCTAAATATATCAATCTTGAAGTGATATTCATCTTTGCATTTCTTTTTCCCTGTATGCTTAATGGGATTTTAAACTGTTTATATTGATTTTGTCTGAGTTAAAACATTTGAAATATTTACGTCTAATAAAGCAGGATGAGTTCCACAAGATATCTTAATAGATAGAAAGATAATTCCATTTGTAGTAACTCTCACAAATGAAGTAGACCACCATATATTGATCCAATTAATAATAAAAGGAGGAAGTCTATATTTAAGCAAACATGTTTAAGAACTTTCCGTTGTATCATGTCAAAGCCTTTTCCACATCCAGAGAAGTCACCATTGCTGATTCAGTTTTTATGACTATATATTGAGAATGCCAACTAATAGTCTAGTATTATCAGATGCTTGACATAGTTGTATAAAATCACCTTGTGCAGAAAATTTAGTTTTTGAGATTTGTTTAAACAGTATAGATTATAATGATGGCATACAGTGATCATAAACTTTAATTGCAGCTGTTCAAAGCAAGCTATATGTTAAAAGAAAACTAAACAGTAAAAACCTCATGATTTTAATTTTTTAAAAAAAATTCTGTTAGATTTTAAAAATGATGCGGGTCTTGCTCTTGACCTACAGAAAAATAATATTTTATAACTGTATATGCCTATAAATTTGATTTTTAAAAAATGGTCCAGTATATCTTATTTTTTTGGAACATAAAAGAGATTAGATGTCCCTCCAACTTAAAATATTTAAATAGACTAGAAAAAATGGGGCAACTTTTTAAAATAATTGAGGTAGGTCAGGAAGGAGAAAAAGGAAAAAAATGGCTGTGATACATTTTAAAAAACTAAAAAAAAAATCCCACAACAAATAATAAATGCACATGCAGGAAAAGTAAAAAACCAAAACAAAACAGTAAAAAGTCAGAAATAAACAATAGAACAAAAACTAAAAGAATTAAAAAAAAACCCTACAAGGATTCCTAGATGGGATGTACAGTAATTATAACACAGGAACTCTACCTGTGAACCAGGGTCCATTCTAAATAGTAGAACGTTTAGTACCTGGGGCATCGAGGGATTTTTAAAAAATTGGGGGAAAAAAAGATTTAATCTCTTTTTGTACACAGAACAGTTTTAACTTCTGAACCATCTGTGGAAAAAGATCTGGATTTATCATTCCTTCTTTTCATTCAGGAGTTTTACTTGGTATAACAAATATAGAATATGGTCCCATATTGTAGATCTCAAGAATCTCACAACGAGACTTGGATTTTGGGTCAAATAGAAATGAAAACCCACACAATAAGCGGATTCAATTTCAAATTTATACTGTGGCTGCAGAGATAAAATCTGATATTACCATGAAATTTATTATAGGCTGATCTTGCTCAGTAGTGTAAGGAATGTTTTAAAAATATACATGATTCCCTGTATGTAATGTAGCATGTTTTATTGATTTTTTTTGTTCTTTTTTCCTTGCTTGTTTTGTCTCTGGGGTTTCCCCATTTTTCCTCCTCTTTTTTTTGCACATTAAAGCAATTAGAAAAAAAAATACTGAGCCAGTATTTTAAATAGCATCCACTAATCTTAAAACTACTTTCAGCTAATAAAAAACAGCGTAACTTCCAGAAGAAACTTGATCTTTGAGCCAGTTCAAACAGCCAAAAATGTTTCATTCAATGAAACGTGACATTTTAATTGTTCTTCAAAGACGTTACACTGCTTTTAGCTAGCTTTAGTGTAAGATTGAAACACTAACAGTGTACTTATATGATTCATAAAGCATTTACAATATTTTTTTTCCATTTTTATTTAAAGACCAAATAGAATAAAATCTGAATAAAAACGTTGATGAATATACATTGCTCTTCTGCTTCTGTAAACTCTTAGGAAAGCTTAGTAGTTGAAATGAATATGAAATTGTAAAACATGACTTTAGAAGTTAAAATAAAGTAACAGTTGACATGTTTGCAAAGGACATGTGTTCTTGACATTTTCCTAAATACTGGGAGAATGGAGACCAAATGCATCTCCCTGTGGAGTATATTATATTGCCTGGGAGCTACGGAGAAGGGCCTCTCCCATATAGCAGAAAGCTGAGATTTTGGCAGCAGGAGCATCTTCAGAATGGTATCTCCTGCTGATCTAAGGAACTGGGCAGGTTCATAGGAAAAAAGGTGATCTCTCAGATAGACAGGTCCTAAATCATTTAGAGCTTTAAAGGTCAGTACCAATAATTGTGCCTATTTGGGCATTGAGAACCAGTTTTGTCTAGCAGTTAAGGTGCTGGACTAGGGGTGGGAAAGGCTAAGTTGTTCTAGCCCTGCCTTAGGCATGAATGCTGGCTGGGTGATCTTGGGCCAGTCATTCTTTGTCAGGCTTAGGAAGAAGGCAATGGCAAACCACTTCCGAAAAATATTACCAAGAAAACTGCAGGACTTGTCCAGGCAGTTGTCAAGAGTCAAGACTGATTTGAAGACATAAAATGTAAATGTAATTTAGCAAGTGACAGTCAGTACAGATCTTTCAGTACAAGCAATGTCTAATCTCTGTAACTTGCAACAGCTAAATTTGGATATTTTGAAATGCTTCGTTGGTTACTATTGTATTTTCTTTTTGTTAGATTTGCATTTCTGTTTTGCATTGGGGTGGATCCAGAAAGGCTTTGCCAGATTCTTTGGATTTCCCTGTCTTACTGTACCCACTCTTTCATCCTTGGGAGCAGTTTATAGGCAGGCAGGAATCCCTATTACATGAGGGAGATTCTGGGAATAAATGTCATATCTAGTTCATTATTATCCAAATAGGATTATCAGATTTTTTGGGGGGGGGAACTAAAAGTGTACGCAAGGGATAACTGATGCCTCTTGAAAATTAATGCATGTCATCTGTCTTCAAGAATGATTACTAAATATTTGCTGGAAGAATAATTAAGTTACCTTTATATAAATACTGATATAATTGGATATACTTGGCATTTATAGCTGCCAACTGGGCTGATACTACAGTAAGTTTGACAGCTTGATTGTGGAATTGTGAATTGTAACTAAATACAAATTATATATATGTTTGCACTGCCTAAATGGTAAAGTGTTTTGTTATCTAGTCTTGGACTAGCCCTTGGAAGATCTAGATTTAAATCTCCATTTTGTCATAAAAGTCAATTGACCTTGGCCCAATTATTGTCTCTGAGCCTAACTTGCTGACAATTTTACAAGATTGTAAAAATAAAGTGAAAAGTGGGAAGAATATATGGCTTATGTAATCCTGAATTTCTTGGAAGCAACAAATGTAATCATAGTTTTATGCAGATCAAAGGTTGCAATTATGTAACTGTTTACTACATAGTAAATCCCACTAAATTTAATATAACTTTTTTCTTTGTAGGCAGAACTGTGCCTTAAGAAGTATATTTCCTTAATTTGGTTAGATCTGTAACTGGTGTATAATCTTAATGATTTCTTTCTTTTATTCTTCTTAGATTTGCAGGAAAGACCTGCTTCTTCATATGCACAGGGAGCAAGACCAAAGGAAAACTCATTGAGTTCTTTGAGGCTGAACACATCCATGAACCGCCAGTTGCCTTCTGAACGTGAATCATCATTACTCTCTAGAGATCATAGCTGGAATTCAAGATCTAACTATGTCCCAAGAGAAGTAGAGACTTCTGAAAGGAATATACAGCCAGAGTTTGCCCATGGTACCATGAGAAGTGGGACCAGAACCTCAAGCAATTCTGAAGGAGTTTTGCCATCCCAAAGGTCATTAAGTGAACCTCCTGCTGATACTGAAGGAAGACGTACAACAAGGCAATTACTGTCTCGTTTAGCATCTAGTATGTCCTCCACTTTTTTCTCAAGAAGATCTGGCCAAGACTCTTTGAATTCTTCAAGACCATTAGGTTCTGAAGGTGTAAGTATTATAAGAGCTCAAGCTTCTGCCCAGGCTACTTCTTCTAACACACCTACAATTTCTGAAAGTACAGAAGCTCAAACACCTGATGGTTCTCAGGGATTTAGCTTCCTTAGAAGACGCTGGGGTTTGGCAGGTATTTCGCCAAATCCTAGTGCTGATTCAGAAGCTGGAAGTTACAGACATAATTCTGAAAGTAGAAATGCAGGTTCCTGGCTGTCATCTTCTTTGAGGAACAGATGTACACCTTTGTTTTCCAGAAGGAGAAGGGAAGGAAGAGATGAAACTGCAAGAACCTCTACCTCTGAAACATCTGCTAGGTCACTGCATCTTTTTAGGAGAAGAGAATCTGTTGGGGATGCACCTCTTGAAGCACAAAGGGAATCCCTCAGGCCTAGGCCATCAGCACCTGCAGTACCTAGTGGTACTACATCTGTTGCCTCGGAGTCAGATTCAGTGCCTCCTAGAAGAAATTCAGGAATATCAGGAATGTTTCCTGGCTCTCTTTTCCGGTTTGCAGTGCCACCAACTTTGGGAAACAACTTGTCCGACAATGTTATGATAACTGTTGATATTATTCCATCAAGCTGGAATCAGCCTAATGGACAAGATAATGACAAATCTAAAATACCACCTTCAAGAGATCCAGAAAGGCTTCAGAAAATTAAAGAGAGGTAAACTGCTATTTCTATCATTTTAATGAAGTTTTAAATTTAAGTTTTGTTGGGCAATTCCTACACTTATTGCGACATGTAATGTTGTTATTATCTCGGGAATGTTGATGTGTCTGGTTAATGTCATAATATGTAAACAGTTTAATTCAAAATAGTAAATTTTGTCATCTCTGTTCAGTCTTCTTTCAGAAGACTCAGAAGAAGAAGAGGGAGACTTATGTAGGATTTGTCAAATGTCCTCTACATCTGCCACTAATCTCTTAATTGAGCCATGTAAATGCACTGGAAGTCTGCAGTATGTTCACCAGGAATGTATGAAAAAGTGGCTACAATCCAAGATTAACTCAGGTAAGAATTAATTTTTAAGATGGCAATTCAGGAAAAATATACTAATTTGAAAGTTGATCACAAGAAGAGATGGTTAAAGTGTAGTTGGAGAATGAGTGAATCTGGCTGAATACAAGTAAGAGTCCATATTAGGGATTGCATCATGGCAATAAGAACAGCAAAATGTAGTTATTTTTCGCTCTTAACAAGTCTGCACATAACTGCCCAATAGGCCTGTTTAAAGTGACCTGTTCCCTGCCAGAGAGGAATGAGTTGGTGGATTTCCAGTGCCACTATGAGGATTACTCAAGGCATCTAGTGGATAAAGTTGCTTGGATACACTCAGAGATGGACTCTAACTGGGTAGGACGGATGACAGAAGCAAGGTTTTATGTAGTTAAATAGGACAAGTATGAATCTGTAACTTCTGAGGAGATGGACAGGATCCTTGTGCCTGATAACCTGAACACCTCTTTATTAAATCTCTGTCCCTCCTCTTGGTGAATGCTGCCCAGGAGGTAGTTGGATTCATGCTGTAATCTTGGCTTTACTGAGGAGGGAGTGATCACCACTGCCTTGAAGGAGGCAGTGATATGCCTTCTCAAGCTTTCACTGGACCCAACTATACTGGACAATTTTTGTCCAGTCTCCAATCTTCTCTTTTTAGGGAAGATTGTTGAGAAGGTGGTAGGGCTATGACTTCAGAGAGTTAGGTTTCAAGCTCAGACATAGTACAGAGATAGCATTGACTGTACTTGTTGATGACCTCTGGTGGAGCTGGAACAAAAGTAGTGCAAGCATCCTGGTTCTGAACTCTCAGCAGTTTTTGATACCATCGGTGATTATAATTCTTCTGGCCTGTCTGTAGTGATTAGGAGTGGGATGTACAGTTTTGAGTGGTTCTCTTCCTTTCCCCCTGTTTGACAGAAGTAAGTGATCAAGCCCGAGCCCCCTCATGTGTGAGGTACTTCAGGGCTCTACATTCTCATCCCTTCTATTAAACATCTACATGAGGCTGCTGAGTGAGGTCATCCATTGGTTTGGTATTATCAATATGTGGATAATTCCCAGTTATACATCTGGACCCCAAACTGATCAAGTGATGTTTTCAAAGTCTCATCTGAGTGTCTGGAGGTTGTGAGGGACTGGATGGGGAAAAACAAGCTTAAAGAACCTTGACAAGATTGAATGGTGATAGGTTTTTGGACACCGTCCCTCCTCCCCCAGGCTGGGAATGTTTCATTTATAGTCCTGAATGGGATTGCACTTCCCCTCTGGGAGTGGTGTGCAATTTGGAGGTATTTTTGAACTTATAGCTTCTGCTTGAAGAGTTGGTAGCAGTTGTGGCTAAGAAGGCTTTCTCACACAACCAACCAACCAACCAACCAACCAACCAACCAACCAACCAACCAAATAAATAAATAATTTATATGTCACATTTATATAGCTGCCCATCTCACGCAAAGCAACTCTGGGCGGCGTACAACAATTAAATAAAATAACAAGTGCATAAAAACAAGCATTATAAAAAGATAAACATTATTAAAATAAAAACATTATCACAATTTTTTAAAAAATTAGATTTTAAAATATACAAACCCCACAGAGAGAGCAAAATATCAATTACAGTGGACCCATCTAAGAATATCTCCGGTTCCTAAAGACCCCCAGGCCTGATGACACAACCAGGTCTTGAGGGACTTCCTAAACAATAGCAGGGAAGAGGTAAGTGTAACTTCAGGAAGGAGAATGTTCCACAAGGAGGGAGCCACAGCAGAGAAGGCCCACCACCTGGGACCCACCAAATGCATGTACCATAGCATACCTTCTCTGCCGGATCTAATGTGATGGGCTGATGTAATTGGGGAGAGGCAAACCCTCAAATTATCTGGCCCCATGCCATGAAGGGCTTTAAAGATCAAAAACAGCACCTTGAACTGGATCCAGAAGCAAACTGGCAGCCAGTGCAACCTGCTAAGCAGAAGTGTAATATGTGCTCTTCTAGGAGCACATGTAACTGCCTGCATTGCCGCATTCTGAATCAGTTGAAGCTTCCAGATACTCTTCAAGGGCAGCCCCATGTAGTGCACATTACAGTAGTCCAATGTGGAGGTGACTAGGACATGAATGACTGTGAGCAAAGCCTCCCGATCCAGGAAGGGGAACAATGGCGCACAACATGGAGTTGTGCGAAGGCCCTCCTAGCCACAACTGCCATCTCCTCTTCAACCAGGAGTCGCAAGTCTAGGAGGAACCCCCAAATTGCACACTGGGTCTGTCTGGGGCAGTGCCACCCCAACCAGCACCAAAGATGGTATACTTGCAGAACCGGCAGGACTCCAAACCCAAAGCTACTCAAGTCTTGCCAAGGTTCAGTTGAAGCCTGTTGTTCCCCCTCCAGACCCTCACAGCCTCCAGACACCAGGCTAAGGTGTCCATGGCATCATTTACTTTGCCAGGGGCAGAGATGTATAGTTGGGTATCATCACCATATTGGTGATACCTGATCCTGTGGCGACGGATGAGCTCACCCAGCGGTTTCATGTAGATATTAAATAGGAGAGGGGAGAGCACCGAACCCTACAGCACCCTACATAGTAGGGGCTGAAGGCGAGACCTCTCTTCTCCAATCATCACTGACTGGAATTGACCCTGGAGAAAGGAGGCAGACCAGCACAGCACCGTGCCGCCCACCCCCAGTCCCCTGAGCCAATCCAGAAGGATACCATGGTTGATGGTATTGAAAGCCGCAGAGAGGTCAAGTAGGGCAAGGATGGATGTATCACCTCCATCCCGCCCACTCCAGAGATCATCAAGAAGTGTGACCATTGCTGTTTCTGTCCAATATCCAGATCGGAATCCAGACTGAAAAGGATCCAGATAATCAGCTTCATCCAAGGTCCTCTGAAGCTGTTGTACAACCAGTTTCTCAACCACCTTACCCAAAAAAGGGAGGTTAGACACTGGATGAAAGTTGTCCAGGATGGTGGGATCTAGTGATGGCTTCTTGAGGAAGGGGCGCACCAGAGCCTCTTTAAGAGGCAATGGAACAACCTGCTCCCTCAAAGAAGAATTAACCACCGCTAGAGCCCACTCATATGACACCCCCTGGGCCGCTTTCACAAGCCAGGAGGGGCATGGATCTAGGGAGCAGGTGGCTATGCTCACAGCTCGAGTGACCCTGTCCAGTTCCTCAGGACCAGGGTTTAAACCGTTCCCAGATAACCAGGCAAGACTCCACCCCAGGCATCTCCTCTGGGCCTGCAACAGAACCAGTGTCCAACTGCAAACAAATCCGAGCAGTTTTATCTGATAGATGGTGAACAAATTCCTCTGCATGCCCCTGGAAAAAGTATTTCGGGCCCCCTTTACCCAAGAGGGCTCATGCCACCCGAAACAGGGCTGCAGGGCAGCAATCTGGATGCAATAAGGGCAGAGAAGTACTGTCACTTCACTGCCCTTACCGCCACAAGGTAGGCCTTAATAGCAGCTCTAATGTGTCTAGTCGAGCTCAGCCTACTTTATATGCAATAGTGAATTTAGTATTCTGTTTAGTGATCTGCTTTTCTCAACATAAGTGTTGCTGACTTTGTTTCTCAATGTTTTCAAGGCCAAATAAAACAAAAAGTATAACTTTTTTCCTCTTAGGTTCTTCATTGGAAGCTGTAACTACCTGTGAATTGTGTAAAGAGAAGTTGCATCTTAATCTTGACAATTTTGATATCCATGAACTCCATAGAGCACATGCAAATGAACAAGTTAGTATATTTTGGCTAATTTGGTAAGTGTCAGTTTAGTGCTTGTGACTCAGGATAGTTTTTTTTTCCCTCCCTGGAAGAAATAATCCTCTGAACAGATTGTTTATGTTGCTTGTATGTCACTCATTCATGCAGTTCTAGATGGTTAACAATATAAACATGTAAAATACCTCAAGAAACCCCATATACATATAACATAAAAATAAAAAATAAGCACCAACAAATACAAGTACCACATGCCAACAATCATACCTCCTGGTTAAAGAGCACTCTCCTCCTCTGCAAGACAGAACAGGATTGATACTGAAGTTCAAAGCTTTCCTGAAGCCTAGGAGGGATGAGGCTGATAGAATTCCCATTGGGAGGGAGTTTCAAAAAGTGGAGGCACTGAGAATGCCTGTATCGTTTGTCCTGTCAGGTGACAATCCCATAGGGACACATTGTGTAAGAAATTGAGCCTATAAGATCTGATTGGACAGGCAAGTAAATATGGGAAAGGTGGTCCCTCGGATAATCAGGTCTGGAGTCATGTATGACTCATTCAACTAGCACTTTGAATTGCATCTAGAAGCTGTCTGGTAACCAGCACAGCTTCCAAAGCAGTGTGGTCACCTAAGAATATGGTGCAATATATGCCTATCACTGCCTGGGCCACTGCATTCTGCATAAGTTGTAACTTCCAGGATTCTTCAAAGTCAGACCCATGTATAGTGCATTATAGTAGTTCAAATGCGAGGTGACTAGGGCATGAGTGGCTATGAGCAGGCTGTCCCAGTCCAGGATTGGTGCACAAGATGTAACTGCAGAAGTCTTCCTAGCCACAGCTGCTACTTGTTCCTGAAGCAAGAGCTGTGAGTCTAGGAAGACTCCCAAATGGCAAAGGAGTATAAACTTGTTTAGAATCAAAGATGGAATTTCCTTGGTATCACTCAGGCCACAAACCCCAAGTCATTCCATCTTGGAGGAGTTCAGTTGAAATCTGTTCATCCCCATCCAGACCCTGATAATCTCCAGGCACTGGGTCAGCACTTCTACTGTATCACCTGTTAGTACCTGGAATGAGATGTATAATTGGGTATCATCAGGATATTGATACCAAACCCATAGATGACCACCCCCAGTGGCTTCATGTAGATGGTAAAAAGGAATGGAGAGAGGGGAAATTCCTGAGGCACTCCTCAAAGTAGAGATCTATGGGTAGACTGCTCCCACCACCACCAGCTGGAACTGGGCCTTCAGGAAAGAGGAGAACCATCCCAAAACAGTGCCTTCTACTTCAGTCCCTTGAAGATGGTGCAGCTGAATACTATGGTCAGTGGTATCAAAAGCTGCTGACAGATCAAGGAAGACAGGAGGGTTGCGCTCCCCCAATCCCAATCTCTCTAAAGATTATCCATAAGGGCAACCAGTGCTGCTTCCATGATATAGCACAGCCTGAATCCCGACTGCCAAGGGTCCAAATAATCTGCTTCTTCTAGGGTATTTTGCAGTTGTAGGTCACCACTTTCTCCACAATCTTTTTAAGACAAGGAAGGTTGGAAACAGGTCTATAATTGTCTACGGTAGTTGGATCAAGTGAAGATTTCTCGAGCAGGGGTGCACACTGCCTCCTTCAGAGGTGACAGAAACATCCCCTCACTCAGATTACTGCGTAATCTGAATTGATCAAGTATTGATTACTGCTCAGATTCAACCTTCTGCCACCTCACAGAAGGCCTTAACTATGAGGACAGAGAACCAATCAACAGGGAAGTAGTGGAACTAAATGCTAAGTGGTCCTATTCACTTACTTGGGACTCAAAAACTCAGAATGATCCCAGATCACTTCACAAGACAAGATCCAGTCAACTCCACTGACAGTGACCAGTTCATCTTGGATCTGAGCAATTTTGTCTGCCAACTGCTGTGGAAATTTCTTCACTGCACCCTTTCAGATGGTCTTAGTGAACATACTTCCCTAAATGAGAATTTATTTCATCTGCCAGGGGGCACTTGGCAGATGAAATAAGGGTGGCAAAATATTTCTCTTTAGTCACTGGAATCGCCACTGTAGGCTCAAGTTTGAGCTCGTATCAGAGTCCAGTCAGATTCAAGACAGGCCTTCCTCCAAGGGCCCTCCAGGTGTCTCCTTTGTTACTTCATTCCTCTGAGCATCAGTAAACCAAGGGGCTGTGGTAGATCTGTGTGCATGGAGAAGTTGCTCTGGAGGAACCCAGTCTAGCTCCAGGTGCCTCTATTTTGTTGAGTAAGTAGAGTCTCAGCCGAGCTGCCTGCCAGATCCTTGGATTTTCATCCCTCTGGTAATTAACAGGATCCATTAGGCACCTTGGGTGGACAGTCTGATCCGTCCTTCAGCATTGGAGAGTTTCATGGCAATCAAAGTGTGATCTATCCATGCCAAGGGTGAAGTACAATGCCCCCCACTTTCAAATCTTGTCATTCCTATCCTGAGACAAAAAACAGATTTAGCCTGGGATCTTGTGTATGTTGCACTCTCAGTAAGGTAGGTCAGGTCCATGGCTGTCATGGCAGATATGAACTCCTGGGCTGCTACACACACTCATACACCCATACAAACACCCTGCCAGGGAAGGTAATTGCCTCTTGGGGAAACTCCACCAGCACCGGAGCAATCAGGTTGATCAGCAGCCCTGGCAGGGATGCTGCTGAACAGCAGGGGGAGCAGCACACAAGCAGCCTACCCGACTGGCCCTCTGGCCCACATGCACAAACAAGGACTCACTTTTGGTTTTCTGTGGAGTAGCACCTCTTGATGCCAACAGAGTCTTGCAGATGACTACCCAAAGCAATCGCTGATGCCAAACTTGAAACTTTCTGTGCCTTTTTGTGTGTGTGAGAGGGAGAGAGTACGAAAGACAGAATCTTATTACTTGGTTGTGCTTTGTTTTGTGTTCTAAAATTCATTTGCCTAGGGTTTTGGAAGAGTTGGAATTCAAAATGATATAAATAGGAAGCTAGAATGAACCTTAGTAACTTATCCCATTTGCTGATGTTATTGAAATAAAGATCCTTGGGATTAAGGAACATGCATACAGTGGGGCAAAAGTATTTAGTCAGCCACCAATTGTGCAAGTTCTCCCACTTAAAAAGATGAGAGAGGCCTGTAATTTTCATCATAGGTATACCTCAACTATGAGAGACAAAATGGGGAAAAAAATCCAGAAAATCACATTGTCTGATTTTTAAAGAATTTATTTGCAAATCATGGTGGAAAATAAGTATTTGGTCAGGACAGAGGAGCCTCTTAAAGAAGTAGTTACAGGTCTGTGAGAGCCAGACATCTTGCTTGTTTGTAGGTGACCAAATACTTATTTTCCACCATGATTTGCAAATAAATTCTTTAAAAATAGGACAGAGGAGCCTCTTAAAGAAGTAGTTACAGGTCTGTGAGAGCCAGACATCTTGCTTGTTTGTAGGTGACCAAATACTTATTTTCCACCATGATTTGCAAATAAATTCTTTAAAAATAGGACAGAGGAGCCTCTTAAAGAAGTAGTTACAGGTCTGTGAGAGCCAGACATCTTGCTTGTTTGTAGGTGACCAAATACTTATTTTCCACCATGATTTGCAAATAAATTCTTTAAAAATAGGACAGAGGAGCCTCTTAAAGAAGTAGTTACAGGTCTGTGAGAGCCAGACATCTTGCTTGTTTGTAGGTGACCAAATACTTATTTTCCACCATGATTTGCAAATAAATTCTTTAAAAATAGGACAGAGGAGCCTCTTAAAGAAGTAGTTACAGGTCTGTGAGAGCCAGACATCTTGCTTGTTTGTAGGTGACCAAATACTTATTTTCCACCATGATTTGCAAATAAATTCTTTAAAAATAGGACAGAGGAGCCTCTTAAAGAAGTAGTTACAGGTCTGTGAGAGCCAGACATCTTGCTTGTTTGTAGGTGACCAAATACTTATTTTCCACCATGATTTGCAAATAAATTCTTTAAAAATCAGACAATGTGATTTTCTGGATTTTTTCCCCCATTTTGTCTCTCATAGTTGAGGTATACCTATGATGAAAATTACAGGCCTCTCTCATCTTTTTAAGTGGGAGAACTTGCACAATTGGTGGCTGACTAAATACTTTTTTGCCCCACTGTAAATCTGTAGAGATTCTGGGTTTTTGGCAATGACAATTGGTTTTCCCTTCCAAAAGGGACTACAGTGTAATGCACACTTTACTGAATTTGAGTCTGAACTAATGCTCTGCACAGTTGATCACTGGGAAAAAGACTTTATGAGAGGGGGCATCAGTAACTATCCAAGGGTCCTTTTTTGCTGGTTCTCCAGATACTTTCTTTTCCCTCCTACAGTGACCCTGGCAGAGTTTGTCAAAAATAACCTCAGAGGAAACCAGTAGCTGAAAGTTGGGCAAAACCTGAGATCTTTAGAAAAGAAAAGGTGCTGAAAGGCACAAAATACATAGAAGTAGCTAGTGGCCTCATTTGTTAGCAGGAAGTATTAGTAATATCCTATGCTTTTCTTTAGTATTAGAAGTCTTTGTTCTGAACTCTCTATATCTTAATTACCAAAGGATAGGTATTTGTTTTTTCTCATATGCCTAGTGCTAAATAAATGCTGAACAGTATTAATTTTCCAGTATGAATTGTTGAAATGTATCTTCTCAAAGACTTGGTGCTCAGTTTCTGTAACCATTTAAACTTCAATATTAAAGTGTGCGCTTTGAGTATTAACGGCATTCTTTGTTTAGCGACAAGGAGTTTAAAACAGTTGTTATAAATTTTGTGGATCTCAGCCTTCCCTTTATTCAAAATTATTTCTCACAATCGTTACTGGAATGGAGAGCTAGCCAGTAAATTGAGATGAAGAATCATCTGGAAGTGTGTGTCTTGACAGAATTGTTTCTTTAAAAGTTCAAGAACGTTAAGATCTAAGTCTGAAGTAATTGCACCCCTGCATCCCAGGGGAAAATAATCAGTGTAATATAATATTTGTGTATTTTGGAAAGCTTGAATATTTGACTCGATAATGCATTCTCTCTCCAGGCAGACTATGAATTTATCAGTTCTGGGCTTTACCTTGTAGTATTGTTGCATTTGTGTGAACAGCGCTTTTCAGATATGCTGGGAACTACAAGTGAGGCCAACACACGTGTCCGGGTAAGGGGTATAAGTTGTTTCTGTAATAGAATCAGTTTGTTACTATGATTAAAGCACATTTCATCTCTTTCAAATATGACACAGCCAGTACCAAAATAGCCTTGTTTCAAATGAGAGTTTTCTGCCCTTCCTCCTGAAGTTCTGCATGGCTCCCTAAAGACATTCAAGAAGGTCAGGGAGTTATTTTTAACCATTGCAAAGCAGTGAAGGGAATGCAGCCAGAGAGCAGATAGATATATGCTGTGTTGACACCAAAAAGCCTTTCTGCTTTGGGGTTCTTTGAGTCTTTACATAGCTAAGGTAACACCTGGTACCTGCTTAAAAAACATACTGGGATAGGCAACAATGCTAAATATGCTTTGGGTACCTTACTGTAATCCGAATCAACTATTTTACTGGCTGATTTATTGGCCTGCTGAAAATAAAAGAAAGGTTGCCTTCCATTAATTTATTTTAGTTTTTCTTTTCTAAATCCCTCTTCTAAAACGAGAACATCCTAAGAGTTTTTGTTTGTAAGGAAAATCCCCCAATTGTAATTATTTTTGTTGCCTTTCACATTTTCTAGCTCCTGCGTATCTGTTTTGAGCAAATCTTAAATATATTTTAAGAATGCTTAAGAAAAAATGTATGTGGGGATATTCTTTTACTTATATTATTCTTTTTTATAATAATGTATATCCCACTCTGCAACTAAATTGTTAAGCACTTAGTTGTATCTGAAATGATGAAATATGCAAAGGTGGATGTTTTCCTGTATATACTTAATGGAATTTCATCTTCTTTGTAATATGTTTCAGTCTGTTAGAACAGCAGCAATTTAACAGCTTTCTTGAACTCTTGATAATTTAGAGAGTGCCCTTAATATTTAATCAAATTAGATTCAATTATTCAATAGTTCTGTTTTGTAAGGTAGAGGTTTAAATATTAGTATATATTTCAGTGAATAGCAATGATGCTGATCTTGCCCATTCGCCAGCTCAGGCTAAAACTTCCAAGGGAGTTTATATTCAAAACATGCTCAGTTCATGCTCTATTTTTCTCCTACCTTCCAGCAGCACTGACTGTAATTCACTTACCAGCAGACTCACACTTCTTAACAGAAAAAATGTAATAAGTGAACTGCTGGATCACAGCCATTTCCATTATTATATACAGTCTTCTCTCTCTAATCTTTAAGAGGCGCTAAGTGCACTTATGATCCACCAGTTCACATGTTTTTACATAGGACTGTGTTCCTGGAGACAGTAGGGGCTTTTCACTTATAGGTGAGAAATTAGGAATTCTTGAAGGTTTTAATTGTGGTATTGGATTTTTAATGGTATAAAGTCCTGTGGTGATTTGCATCTTTTAAAACTGCCTTTTTGCATTGCTTCTAGTTTATTAATCTTGCAAGAACTCTTCAGGCACACATGGATGATATTGAAAGTAGGTGATTTTACTTCTAAGTTAAAGAACAAAGGGATAAAGTGAAATCTGTTTTTATATGTAATATTGAGTATTTAAATGTCTGAGCTGCTCTGCAGTTTTCAAGTAGAATTGGATTAAATTATAAGGTGCACCTGAAGGACTCAAATCTGGTCCCTGAGGAAACTCAGTCAAAATACTTACTTCAAATTGCCCTGACACATACAGATTGCACTTCATTTTGTGAGAGAAGTTTGAAGGGCAAAACTAAACAAAATCCATCCTAATATGCATATGCTTAACATTTCTCATTGAAAGAAATGAAGTTTATTCACTGAAATCACTAGAACTTGGTTAATTTTGATCAGTGTATACCCTTAAGGAAGACTGGCCTTGCTGACTCAAGCATGTGAATTTAGACTTGCTTTTCAGGTAGACATTGGAATTTTGTTTAGCTGAGAATCTCTTTTAAGAATAGTCTCTAAGCAGAATCTAATTATCTTTTGGGGAATGTGTATTTTTAACAAAACATCTTACTTACGGAGAGGTATCTGTTAGAGGTAGTTCCATTTAAGAGGTGGTTGCTGATATAGCAGTTGTGATGTTTAATAACTCAGGTATCATTACTTGCCAACCCATTTTTCCCCTCCTCTTTAGGTCATGTGCATATTTGATGCCTCTTTCTTGTACATCTCTGTGCTAAGGGCCCCATATACACATTTCTGTCCATTACAAAGGTAGCTTTTGTTAGGGGGATGATAAAAAGAATTAAAATAACACAGAATGTACAGAGTTAAACTACAGTCATTACTAACTTCTGCCCCCTTGAGCCGGAGATACGCAGATAGACAGACAGACCACCTACATCAGTGCCCCCTTTTTTCTCTCCAGTGAGTAGGAGTCCCAGCACTTCTTGATACCAATCAGTGTTGAATTAATCCACACTGCCTGCTCTATTTTTCTTCTGTGGAACCTGGATGAAACCTGGTACAGCAAGAGCCTGGGATTTGTGAGCAAAATTTCTTCTCCAGTAATTGTGGGGAAGCACTTGTATCAGTATCTGTTTTTTAAAGAAGGGTTTGCTAGGTTTTGAAGAGAACATTTATTTCATGATTGTTTCATCGTCTTCTGTGAATGAACACTGTCTATTCTCTTGTAATCTGTGTCCAGTAGTTGCCAAATCATAAGAGGTTTCCTTGGTGAAATATCATTTTCTTGTCCTATTCTTACAGATGTAGGTATTTGAATAATTCAAACCTTGTTTATCTATTTGGTATTATTTACTCTATTTACAAATGTTAGCTTCCTTTTAAGGACATTTGAGAATACCTGGCCATTCATTCGCACTATGTGCATCTGGATTTTTGTTTTAAAAGGGCCTTTACTCTTTAACACAGTTAACTATGTAGTTTAATACTGTAATACTCTTCTGGGAAAAATAACCCATTGTTAGCCTTTCTGGTATTGAAGATGCCTATTAATGTTTATATATTGCCATTCATATATATGTACTTGTAATTTAAAATCAAAGCAGAATCATGCACAATGTGAAACACTTTATTGCACTGGTAAAAATCTGGCCATTTATCATTGTTAACTTGGGTAGCTGTAAAACAAGGAAAAACTGAAGCCATTCCTATATGTCTGCACTTCCTAGCATATGTTAAATTGAAATGATGGGCAGAACATTATTGTGACAGTTGGCAAGTAAGTGTCTAAATATTTTTATAGGGTTATAGTTGCTAGAAGGCATAAAAGAATTTCATTAGTGGGTTCACACTGAGAATTAGCAGTGAGCACTGATGATGTTACCTAGTCAGGTAATGAAATGTCTGCAATCAAACAACCAAGCTTAGAGAACACCAAGGACTCCACATTGAGAATTATTAAAATGGTACCTAAAGATAATTGCTTTAGATGTTTTTACTTAATTTTCTAAAATATAAAAAGATATTTTTTCATTTTATCCTTTTCCTTCCTCAATTTGCTTTTTAAAGAAAGAGTTTTGATTTCCTTTTACATTCATGTGCTTACTAAAAGCAGTATACTATAGCATAAAAGTAAGTAGGTGTATTTTGCCTTTTAGTTTCAGAGATGTTAAGTTAAAGTTGTATGTAGATATTAGTTTAGGGAAGCACTCCATTCTGAAGCACTGATTTCAAAGGCACATAAATGCTTTACAAAATGAGATGCTGTGTCAAATTTAAAATAATGTCCTTGATCTTAGACTTCTAGAAAAATTTCTGATTATATTCTGTACTTCCAGCAGCTTCAGATGATGATGATTCTGAAGATGGTGATCTCGATAGAACCCTTGATGCTGCATAGATGGAAATGGAAGGGCTAAACGCTCAGCTGACACAAGTATCATCAGTGCACATTTATTTAGTAAAAACATGCTGAATCCTATTAGATTTCTGAAGAATTGCTGAGTCAACAGAAAATCTGCTGTTGCACACCAGTATCCATAGATATTGGATATTGCTCATTCAGTCTGCAAGAGTATCTTTCTTCTTTCAGATTGTGACATGTATGCCTTCTTCTAAAAGACATGATTTTTATGTGTAAGGAAGATTTCTTTTTGTATAAACTTCTTACAGAAATCAGTTACAAATTCTGGGAAATGTTTTTCAAGTTTTGCTCTTCTGCTGGTACTAAGTGGAACTATTAAGTGAGTTTGCAAGCCCAAGTCATGGGGAGGGGATAATTCTTTCTTAACTTACCATTTAAAAATATCTACTGGGAAGTCTCATTGTTTTGCTTCCAGTGTTAACAACCTAGATTGAATGAGGGAATGAATGGGTTCTGTGATTAGTGTTAAGTTTCTCTAAGTTCTTCTTGAGGAATGTTTAACTCAAAGCAATAAACTTGCAAGGGGCTACTAATAAGTGTTAATTATGGCTTTTATAAGTATTGATTTCAAAATTGCGGATTATATTTGATAATATGTAGAAGTTCCAGTAAGGAATTGCAGCAGTAAACACAAGCATTTCAGCATTCCTGGAAGGAATAAAACTTACAGTTTAGAATCTTAACCAAGCTATTTATCTGAATGAACATTTTTTAGAACCCACATTCACTGCTAAAGCACTGGTTATCAATGTGTTTTCTAGTGTTGTCACTTGTTTGTTAAATAAAAATTGCAATCCATATGATTTGTGTGCCTCTTTAAAATAAGCTAACATTTAGAGCCTAAGTTATATCCCCATAGGAGTTTTGTCTGGTTTAAGTATGCCAATGCTAATTGGATTTGTTGGAGTGGAGCAGTAATGGGGATAGGTTTCCTGTGTTGCTACTGATATTAAGGCTCATAAAGGTAATGACTCCTTCCAGGTGAGCTCTACTCCTGGTGATTTCATGGATACATCCATACAAGTTTCTTGGCAACCATTCAGAAATGGCTTGCCATTACTTTTTTTCAAGAATGCAATCTCTGAAAATGATCCCTTTACAGAGAGCACTTTTTTCCCATTATATGAATAGAACACAGTTCATTTACTCCAAATCAATAGCATCCATTTCTAACTTCAGAATACTGTCTTGGCAGATGCATTCATATCAAATACAACTGCATAACTTATCTTTTGAACGCTTCAAAATGAGTTGGTTGAGAGCCAAAGAGGGGGTGGGAGAGATAGCAATTTCCTTTTTTTTAAATAATACCTTTATTAATTTTTTTTTAAAAGAACAGAAAAAACAAACAAAAACTAATATTAAGAAAAAGTTTAAGAAGAAAAAATTGGGAAAAAATAGTAAAGTTCAAAAGCGCAGAAAAGAGGAGAAACAACAAAAGAAAGAAAAGAATTGACATCCGACCCTCCTTGCAACAGCTATAAGTAACAATATACATCAAACTCTTGCTTTAAATTTACAACATAACTTCCATTATTTCTATTAACCCATATTATTAGAGAGACAGTAATTTCCTGTGCAATCCAGGTTCCTGTTCTGACTAAAGTCATAAAGCCTTCATCCAAAGGACATTGTGCTACCTTATTCCTTCCACATAATAGTCCCATTTAGAGTTAAGAATTCCCACTAGAGTTTCAGCTTACACAGAATCCTTTGCATCTAAAAGATCCTGGTTGCGCTCAAACTGTGTGACAGGGATGTTGTTCTGTGCTGCTCATGTGGAGAGTTATACTTCTTTGTAACAAAGTATTGCTTGTGAATCTTAGTTGACAGAATACAGCTGGGTATCCATTGGTGGGGAACTTGGCCCAACTGTAAATAGAGTATGGTACAGGTGGTCCTTGTTTAGTGACCATGATTGGGACTGGTGACTCGGTCATTAAGCAAAGTGGTTGCTAAGTGAAACTGACTCTATTTATAATCTTCAGTTTTCCTTTACTTTACAGACCTGCAGAGATCGTAAATGCAAGGATTGGTCAAAAAGTTACTTCATCACGGTTATAACTCTGAACGGTTGCTGTCTGAGGCAGTCACTAAATGAGGACTACCTGTATATGTACTGTATTCTACTATAAATGTAGAAGACAGACTTAGCCCTGTGGATCTCTGCAGTGCAATTTTCATAGGAAAGCATTTTTTTTTCTGCAAGAAAGGAGAAAAGTAACTTGGCAAAACAATACCAACCTTCCCCAGTTCATACAGGCATTCTGTACATATTGAATGCTCTAAGAATTGCAGTCCAGAGTTAGAGCATCTTCTACAATTAGCTGCTGTCTTTTGAAATACTGGAATAAAGATATGAAGGCTAAGATTAAGAAAATGTTAAAAGGGAAAGTGGGTAATTTTGAGAATTTTTTTCCATCTTATTCTGAGTCTTCATATTTTGTTTTAGAGAAAATCTTTCTCTTTGCTGCTTGCATATAGAGACTAGTACCTCATTTTGAAAAAAATCTATGCGATTAGGGTAAAAAATAGGAGCTATAATGCTCTGAGCTACATAAAACTTTTCCCTTCTGTCTGAAGAATTCGACTAAAATTAATTTAGGAGAGATTGGGGAGAGCCTTTGGGTCTGTTTAACCAATATTATGGGGTTTTTTTCTGGCACTGAGAGGCATGTAATTAAATTATAAGGTCAGCTAGAATAGTAAAGATGAGATGCCCATGTTCAAGCATCCAAATGATAATTTTTTATGGTGTAATACTCATTTACATAGAAATACATGTATTTAGGATTGTAGCCTAATTGTGAGCAATGCTAGTCAGATTACCGCCTGCAATATAACATGTGGCAAACTTTGAATGTTGTTGTTTAAGCAATTACTTGACTTACTCAGCCACTTTGAGACATAAACAGTAATTCCCAAACATCACATGCCTATCAGTAATTGAAAGCCTAATTGTAAACATCAAATTGCTTTATGTATGCAATTCTAGAAAGGCCATTTTTAGTTACTGCTTTTATTTGAGCTAAAAAAAAATGCAAATATTTATACTCGATTTCATTTTACAGAACAGTATATTAAAATAGTCATATATAAAATGATTGGAATTGTGTTGAAGGTCCTCACTGTTGTTCCATATTTTGTTAATATAAAAAATAACTGACATTCACTAGGAGAATATGCAGACTTCATCATAAAGGTACAATCTACAGGTTTTAATAAATTATCTCCATTGTTCGTGATCTCAGTTGTTCCATGTTTTTTAAAGGTAGTACAGTGGTACCTTGGTTCACGAACTTAATTCGTTCCATGACTCTGGTCGCGAACCGAATTGGTCGTGAACCAAATCAAATTTTCCCATAAGGTTCAAT